AGGCTGCGGGCCAATGGGGGCGCGGGGCCGGGGCGCGCCGCGGCGCTGGGGGCGGCAGGTTGCGGCGGCGCCGGAGCGCCCCAGGCCCGGAGGCCCGCGAGCGCCCAGGTGAGCCGTGCGGGTCCCGAACCTCCCGAGCCTCCCTAGCGCTGGCCGACGCCGGCTCCGACGCGCTGCGTTCCTGCGGGAGCCGACGGGGCGCGTGCGGTGCCCGGGGCTGCGGGCCGGGACTGGCGGGCGGCGCGCCGGCTACGCGGAGGTCGGGAGCCGGAGGTCGGGAGGGGTCTCGGCCGCGGCCCGGGAAGATGCCCACCTGGGGGCGCCCGGCGGTGAGGCCCGCGTGGGGGTGCCCAGGACGGCCGCTGGCCGCCGCCCGCGGGGGAGGCGGTGCTCTCTGAGCCGGCGGGGGACAGGAAGTCCCGGCTGGTTAATGATTCTCCCTGTTCCGGGAGCGGGGCGCTGCGAAGGAGCTGGAGGTCAGGGGGGCCTCGAAGTGCCTTGGAGGGCTGGACCAGGGCCTTCCCGGCCACCCCAGGAACGCGTGGCCTGCGGGTGGGGCTGGGCGCGGGAGCGCGGGGCCCACGCTGAGGGGCCGAAGCCCTGAACTATTTCTGGGGCCAGGCTGCGACTCTGTGGCCTGACCCTGTGGCCTGTGCCCTCCTCCCAGGACTGGGATGCCCTTGGGGCTGACGGCCATGGAGCTGAAGGTGTGGGTGGATGGCATCCAGCGTGTAGTCTGTGGCGTCTCGGAGCAGACCACCTGCCAGGAAGTGGTCATTGCACTAGCTCAAGCAATAGGTGAGTCCCTTGTGGGCCAGTCAGGCGGGACAGGCAGAGCTGGGAGGGCCCAGACGCCCAGCCCCATTTTTCCGCCAAGGCGGGTGGGGCTGGTGCCGATCCCTTTTGTCCTCCCCAGCTCTTTCAGCCAAGTGGACAGAACGTGGGGCAATGTAGGTGACCCTCTCTCCTTTCCTCCAGGCCAGACAGGCCGCTTTGTGCTTGTGCAGCGTCTTAGGGAAAAGGAGAGGCAATTGTTGCCACAGGAGTGTCCAGTGGGCGCCCAGGCCACCTGCGGACAGTTTGCCAATGATGTGCAGTTTGTCTTGAGGCGCACAGGGCCTAGCCTGGCTGGAAGACCCTCCTCAGACAGCTGCCCACCCCCAGAGCGCTGTCCAGTTCGTGCCAGCCTTCCCTCAAAGCCACGAGCAGCGCCAGGCCGTGAGCCCCGCAAAGCACTGACCTGCAGCCCAAGGTGCCCCAGGCTGGCACCCAGCCTCTCACCCCCTGAGCCTGTGGCCCCCACCGTACCCACACCAGGCTGCTGGGCAGACCTGCAGGGCCTGGAGCTCATGGTGCAGAGGAACGCAGAGGAGCTGGGCCACGAGGCCTTCTGGGAGCAGGAGCTGCGTCGGGAGCAGGCTCGAGAGCAAGAGGGGCAGGCTCGTCTGCAGGCACTGAGCGAGGCCACTGCAGAGCATGCTGCCCGGCTGCAGGCCCTGGACGCCCAGGCCCGCACCCTGGAGGCCAAGCTGCAGCTGGCTGCAGAGGCCCCTGGACCCCCCTCACCCACGGCATCTGCCACCGAGCGCCTGCGCCAGGACCTCGCTATCCAGGAGCGGCACAGCGCAGAGTTGCAAGGCAGCCTGGCCTTGGTGAGCCGGGCTCTGGAGGCTGCAGATCGTGCCCTGCAGGTGAGCTGGGGCTGATCCCCCGACTGCTCCCCACCCCTGACACGGGGCAGATTTGGGGATTGGTCACGGGATCAGACTAGAGAGAGTGCTCTGTGTGGGGCACAAGGGCCATGGAACCCCCCAGCTGTGCCCTCTGAGTGTCCCACGTGCCCCCAGGCCCAGGCTCAGGAGCTTGAGGAGCTGAACCGCGAGCTTCGTCAGTGCAACCTGCAGCAGTTCATCCAGCAGACGGGGGCTGCACTACCACCACCCCCACGGCCCGATGGGCCCCCCCCACAGGTTAGAGCGGTTCTCGGAGGAGGCCGGGAGGTGAAGCCCTGGCCCAGCTTCAAGCTGATTTGCCCTCCCCACAGGACCTTCTGGCTCCAGGAAGAGAGGATCCCCTCCCAGGACCCCACCTGAGTCCTGTCCTCAAGCCTAGCCTGAGCCCTGAGGGTATGTCTGCCCCCGTCCCCTTAACCCCGCTCCATCCTCTGGCCTCAGCCTTCATAGCCTGTGTCCTCCCCACAGTGGCCCCCATGAGGCAGAATTCCTGGAGGTAGCAGCTCCTGCCCCAGCTTGGTGTCCACGGCAGCCCAGCCCCAGGCTCTGGTGACAGATTAGCGAGGACAGCTGAGACAAGCTGGCCTGGACCCTGGAAGGAGAGTTGGTGGTCACAGAGGCTTCTCCCCGTGGAGTGGGAAACCCTGGGGTTGCTGCTTCAGGGGCCTGAGGGGTGCTAGGAGGATCACCCCCGTGCTCGCCAAGTCTGTCAAGCTCCCCAGAGAACTTGCCAGGCCCCAAAGGCCATGACTCCATGTTGGGGATGGGACCTGGGAGCTGCATGGATGGTGTGCTCAACCTGTGGATATATGCTTGCCTGTGGGAGGTGTCTTTGCATGTGTGCGTGTGTGTGTGTGTGCGTGCGCGCGTGTGTGCATGGAAGAACCTGTGTGCCGCCTCCCCTACCCTGACACTGAAACTTCAATAAATTGCCAAGAATAGCTTGCGTGTGCGCTGAGGCTGAACTGGGCGGGATCTATGGGGTCTAGAACTTGATAATCCACACTGGGGGTGCTGGGGAGTGCCCCGGGTCTGGACACAGCTGGGGCTCCTTAGAATGGCATCCCTCAGGGAACAATGCTCAGTAAGGTCCAAGGCTGGGGCTTGTGGGGCCCCACCTGCCCTGGGGCTCTCCTTTGAGGGCCCCAACCTGGTGGGCCCTGCCAGTTCAGCCCTGGTGTGGGTTGCTGTCTGGACCCCTCTTCCACCTGGCTCCCCCTCACCTGGCCTGTGCCCCACCAGCAGCAGGAACTGAGGATGCCAGGACAAGCTAGACCCGCCTGTCAGGTTTACGGAGAGCTGAAGCTCCTGGGGGCGGGGCCCAGATTCCTAGGTCAGCCAGGCCCAGGGAGCTTCACCCAGAGCAGGCCGAGGATAGGTGCTGGGCACCAACGGGAAGGGGCTGCCCCTGCCTCCCCAGGTGGTATGAAGCCTCTGCTGCAAGCCTGCAGCTTTGAAATTGGGGTAGGGTGGTGTCCACAGCCCAGCCCAGCCCCTGCCTGGGCCCTTGGGCTGGCTGTCACCTCTCCCACAGAGCCCTGGTCCTCAGGATGGGCCACACACTCCTAGCTCCTAGGGCCATGGCTGGAGTTGGAGAAGAAATCTTTGTGATGAGCAGAACCTGGGAGGCTCTGATGCTTGGGTGTAGCCATGGGTGGTATTGGGGGACAGAAGATGGAGATGCCCTAGATCATGGGGGACTTTGTGCAGGGTTTGAAGGGTGGGCAAGTTTGGGATGAGGTCCGCTTTCTTTTGGGGTGGCCCCTAAGCTGGATCTGGTGCTCCCATTTCCTCTGGGGCAGACCACAGGGGACATGGATATACTGAACTGGAAGAGTAATGAAGCCACCCATGGGCACTCCTGAGAGGCCAGATGAGCAGGAGCCCACTGCTCTGGGGAGCAGCTGGGATTGAGTACTCCTGACTGAGCAGGGAGAAGGGGATGGGAGAGGCCAGGCAGCAGGAGGAGGCTTCTGATCCTGGTGTCTGCAGGCCAGAACCCTCAGCCCAAACCTGCTCCTGTCCACATTCCTGCCTGAGCTCACCGGCAGGCTCACAGCCACCTGTCCTGGGAGGTGCTTGGGAGCCTGGACCTGTGGCCCCAGATGGGACTAAGCACAGGGTCACATGGGGCAGAGCCTGGAGTGCAAAGGTCAATTGGGCTGGGTGTGTCCTGGGTGAGGGGATTTGCTTCCCCACTCCCTGGCACTCAGGAGGGTTGGCTATACCTCTGGGCACCAGCCTAAGCCCTAGGATGGGTTCATCTTCCAAAATAAGCGTGCAGGGGGCAATGCCAGGTGCCATCCAGAGACCACCCTACACACAGGCAGGGCTCCCCAGAGCCATGAGCGCCCCTGATATCCCCTAGCCTCTCAAGGGAAGGCAGGCACAGAGCTGGCAGAGCACATGCCACATCCTCCTGTGTCTGTTTTCAAGGACCACCTGTTCCTTTTGAAGCCACTGCCCAGGTACCCATCTCTGGTCTGCTGCTGCTGCTGGCTCTGAAGAAGCTAATGAGTCCTCTTCTCCACCAAGAAAGGGGACCCCACTGTGCTCTGGGGTGGGAAAGGGGGTAGAGCCATCCTCCCCAGGGGCTGTTCCAGGTGAGCAAAATCTCGTGGCTCAGAAAAGTTGCCGGAGTGCTTCAAATCACTGAGCAAACCTTTGAGTTGCTGAAAAGTTTATTCTGAGTTTTAAACTGTACTTTGAAAAAAATGGGGTGAGCTGTGCTGAAGTAAGGAAGGGCTGAGCTCCCCGAAACATCCAGTTCCATAGCAAGGCAAAGCCAAGCCAGGCCAGGCCACCTGGCAGACCCTGCTGGGGCTGGACCCCACCTGGTGTATGGGGTCAGGGCAGAGCCAGGCCCAGCTGGGAGCTGGTGTCTGCGAGTTCTCTGCGAGTTCTGAACCGGAGGCCACACACGGCCTTCCCTCACCTGCCAAGCCTCACCACACTGTGGTGACAGAGACAACCCC